AGGAGGCGGAAAGAGGAAGAAGAAAACGAATGTGCGAAGAGTTCACGATGAGAAGAATGGGGAGGGAGTAGATAGGCTAGTGATTTCTGATACATAGGTGGATCTTGTCCAAGGGACCCGGGTAATTCCACGCTTGAGGTGGGCCGAGTAGAGGCGTGGTGCCGGATAGGCTAACTTAGGACTAGAGGTCGGTTCGGTGGGGGGCATAGGACCCGGGTGTGTGACTTCGGTCCGACTTCGGGGAGGGGGTTGGCACCCTTCCTCGGGGATAACCTGTGTCCGCGGCTAGTCTCTAGGCCGGGAGTGGGGAGGAGTCTCTCAGCGAGGGAGGACAGGAAGGTAGCCGAGTGAGACGGCGTTCCTTCTTTAGTCCATTTGATCCTTCTGAGCTCACAGGCTTCTTCTCCTTGCGGAATAGAGATGGTCTCTCGAGTGGCCAAAAGGAAATAGGAACTTAGGGAATTTTTCTTTGATTATTCTGCATAAGCCTAGAAGCCGTTCCAGAATGGATTAGTGTGTGTACGTACGGAAGTGTTGACGTGTGGTGTTACAGTGTTACTCCTTTCGACTATGGACGGGGGACTTTGATGTAGGTGTCTATGTAGAGGAGGGACAAGATCAAGGAGAGGACTTCCTTCGTGGGTGGGAAGAGGCGATAGGCCATTCCCGCGGTTCGCGGGAGGAATTGAGGGGTTACGGGTACAAGTATTTCTACTCTCTAGGATATCGAACCTACCCCAGAGGTGGTCGCCCAACGCCGGTAATTCCGAATGCTTATCTCGATGGATCGGATGAATGGAAAGTACTAGTGGGGATTGTGGAGCGTATAGTGAGAGCGGCGAATCCATGAGCTTGAGGCCTTTGGAGTTTGAACCCGCAGGAATTAGTGTAGGTGATCGAGGCGGGGTAAATGTGTGGTGCTATACCTTCTACTGGTGGACCGGCCACTTCGACATAGCCTTGTACGTAGAAGAGGGTGTAGATAGGGAGGCAAAATATTTGGATAGCTGGGAGGAAGCGATCGGTCACGCACACCTCGAGAGGCAACTGTTGGGGGCTTACGAGATTAACTACTTCTGCTCGTTGGGGTGTAGGACGTATTCACGAGGGGGTAGGCCTGTTCCCACTATTCCGGACGCTTTCCTGGACGGATCGGACGATTGGAGGGCGTTGGTTCAAATCATAGAAGAGATAGTCCAAGGGGATGGTTAGGATTGTTGAGGGTACTGAGGAAGAAGGGGTTCGGATAGAGAAGGCAGATTTAAGCAAAGACAAGGAGTGCTTCAGCGTCCCCTTGGACCACCGCACGGAGAGGTATCTAGCCGGTCGCGAGAGAGGGCTAGAGCTAGAGCAAGGGGTTTTTCTTTGGGCTCGTTTCGCGGTAGGAACTTGGGAGGGGGATAGGTGGTCCCGAAATAGGCCCCAGAACGGGAAGAGACCCAGACGAACGGTGATCCGTGCGGAAGGAACTGTTTATTTGAGTAAGGAGGCCTGGGTCGATTACGTCACACATTTGGTCCTGGGGTGGTACCGTGCGGATCATTGGGAGGCACGTGCGGGTCCGATTTTGAGGCAGATCTTTAAGGCTGAACCCCTTAGACACTGCCCGCCCATTGAGGTAAGGGTGACCTGCGCGCGAGACGAAGAGTACCCCCACGCCACAGGGTGCGTGAGAGCCATTTTTCCATCGTTCGTTTTCCGAAGGGTGAGCGGGAAGGAGGAGCAGTACGAGAGGGTTGTGCGGTCCATAGTGCGAGAAAAGGGGTGGCAGCTCTTTGTTAGGTCGCTCCATTGGTACTACACCTATTGCGTGGATAACCCGGTACCATACGGGATCAAGGCGTGTAGGATTCGTGTCGGGATCTTTAGGGAGTCCACCCGGGACCGCGAGGGAGGAAGGGACTACGGATACCAAAGAGTCTTCGGGGTGCCACAAAGGATCTTCTAAATGAATGGTGTTCCATAATAGAGAGCAGGGATGCTTCTTAGAGTCCTCTTTAGAAGACCGCGATGCCCTTAGGCTGGTCCCTAGCAACGGGGAAGTCCCTGATTGGGAAAGGATAGAAGGAGGGAGGTCCACGGTTAGTGGGGAATTCGTGTGGGTAGAGTCCAAAGAGGTAGAAGGCCAAGGTCTTGGGCGGAGTCTTGAAGTAACCGCGGTTATTTTCATAGCACCTGAGGCTTGGGCGAAGCTCGTAATACCCCTGATTCAGGGACAAGGGGGTGGGCTGGAAAAATTGGTACGAGAGGCGAGAGAGGTCAGAGGGGAGTCGATAAGTAGGGTTAAAGAGCGATTTACATTCGTGTCCGTGGAAAGGGAGAGATTCACGAGGGAGAGAGAGCTTCCAAGGTCGAGTTACCCGTTAACTGTGAGGGTGCCGTCTTACCTATTTCCTAGCACAAACGAGGGAAAGATAGTGTGTCTTCTAGAGAGAGGTAGGAGTTTGGGCCTTACCTTCAGGGCCCTATAGATACTGTATACGCACTGCATCGATTAGGGTATTCCGCCGCGCAAGAAACTCTGGGGGATTTTTCGAAGACTAGGTTCTCTAGAAAAGCCCTTCACTCTCACTCCAGACAAATATCTCAAGTGAGTCTTTAGAGCGACGACAGCAGATGGTGAAGTTCGTGCTCAGTGAAAACGGGGTGGTAGAATCCATAGAGGCCAGTGACGCCGAGAAGGTTTTAGTTCCGGGAGACCCTCAAGTGACTCCTTATTGGATGAGCGTTGAGAAGGGGGGATTGATCAGAGAAGGGGCCTACGTGTGGGTTCGAGCTCGAAGGCTCACGTGGAAGGAGGGTGTGGAGAGAGGAGGTTCACCGGACCTCGGGCGTTTCCTGGAGATTCGGGCTACCATTTTTTTCAACGAGGAGGTGTGGACCGAAGTCTGGAGAGGCTTGGTAACTAGGCAACTCATACATTTTGAGTACCGAGAATCCGCAAGGCTGCTGACGAACAACCTGGTGTTAGCTGATGACGAGGAAGGGACTTTCGAGTCGTGGTCGCTAGTGTCCTTCGCCGAGCCCGGAGAGGTCCCTCGCGCGTCCGGGGTCCTCCACGCTAACCTGCCCCAGTTCGTGGCCAGTTCGTTCCTAAGAGACCCGGAGGAAAACGTAGTAGCGGTGCTTAGGGCGGCTCGAGAATCTAGGGTGCGGGCTAGGGGTTTGTTCGGGCTTTATACTCGGTGCGTGGACGCGGGAGTTCCCCCAAGGAGTGAACTATCCGCCATCTTCGGAAGATTGAGAGAGTTTGAGGGACTCCGATCCCTCGTCGCGGATGTTCCGTACGCCCGCCTCTTCGGAGAAGAGCAAGTGGCTAACCGGAGTGGTTTCGAGGGCCGATGATAAGGAGGATCCCGAGAACCGTCTGGCGTCCATAAAGCCCGTAGAGGATATCGGAGAGGTTATTAGAATCACTCTGCCTAGGGCCCGGTTGGCTGAACCAGCTAGGACTCTCCTGCGAGAAGAAGGGGGGATCCGTTGCGGTAAGGCGTTCATACGATTTGCGGTGAGTCGCCAAGGGGAGGTCGTAGTTGGAGAAACCCGAATATTCCTTTCGAAGGAGGGCTTTGTAGAGATAGCGCGTAGCTTACGGATTGGACAGGACCCTCTCTGGGACGCTCGAGCCGTGAGAGGCCGTCTAGGAGAATTAGTGGAGGAATCGAGGCCTCACGAAGGGTGCGACGAGGAATATCTGGTGACCTACGGGGGGTGGGAGGAGATACCGCGGTTCCTCTCCAGCGAGCCGGTGGAGGTCCCCCGTTTCATTTTTGAGCGGGTTTACCCCTCCGAGGCTGTCAAAAGGCCGGTAGGAAGAAGGGTTTTCATCCTAAGTCAGTTCAGGTTCACGGGATCGGACCTTCACACCTTGTTAACTTGGTGTTTTCGGGACGCCTGTAGAGACGATTGGTCGACTCTAGAGTACCTGGGTTACGCATTTGAAGGGTGGGGTCGACACGCGAGGGAGTCTAAGATATCGTGGAGGTACCTAGGTAAGATCTGCGAGGGAGAGCTAGCGGGGTTGGACCCCTCAGACTTGATTCGGATAGCAATTGCGTGTCGTCGACGGAGGTTAGGGAATGACCGAGCTGACCCTTGAGGAGCTTGTGGGGTTGGATAGAGTAAGGGAAGAAGTTCACTGTATCCTTGCTCTGTGCTGGGAAGAAGAAAGGAGGGCTAGGCCCGGGTCCTTAGCCAAGATCAAGTTGCTTGAGACGGCCACAATCGCTATCCTTGACGAGGTCACGATAGACCTTCTCTCGCGGTGAGGGGATGAGAGCCTCGTTCGTCTCCAATAGGATTCGTTGGGAGTTAGAGACCTACGAGGACGGTAGCGAGGTTAGGGTCGAGGGAGGTGCAGAGCTTAACCCGGAATTGGGAGAGAACCGGGTAGTCCGCGCCGAGATAGAATTTCTAGTGGAAGTTCGAAGGCTGGCTTGTGGAAAAAGAGAAGCTGGACCACGCTAGCTACCTTTTCAGTCCACATTAGAGACGCAAGTGGCGTGAGATTCTCGAAGACTTGGAGGGAGCCTTTGCTGGAAGTAGACAGAAAATTCGACGAGGACCCTAGGTATCTTGGAACGCCACTAACATCTAGGACACACCTTGTGGAGACCCAATTTTGGGATAGAACGGGCGAATACGAGGAGGCTTTGCGCCAAACTCTGAGAGGGGACAAAGAGACTGGTCGTGCTAAGTGCGAGGACTCGTTGGTCGAAGCCGCCTCGAGGTTGGCCGGCATGAGGTGAGGCTCCTATGATTAGATACGAAAGGGGGGACCCTTACGGTACCTTAGATAGGGTTTGGACATGGGGAGGGAGGTATGGAGTGACTCTCCCGAGAGTTAGGGGGGAAGGAGAGGTGACTACCGAGTTCTTCGAAATTTACGAGCAGGAGACAGTGGTCACGTTCTCAGTAGCGTCCAAGCAGAGCAGTTGCACGAGAAAGGCGGAAATCTTTAAGGTCCCCTTACGCCTGTCTAATCTTCGCAACCGAATTAGCGGAAGGGAAGGATCCTCTAGGCATCGCCGAAAGAGCCATAGAACCGGTGCAAAGATTAAGAAGAGTTGGCACCGGGGACCCCGTGATCAACAAGGTAGAGTACAGAGGGAGGACGGAAGTTCCAAGGGTAGCCCACGGGAGAACTTAGACCATCCCTACCTGGGCCTATCGACTACTCTATGTTGACGACGAGACCATGAGGAGAGTCCGATTGAGGGGTCAAGTGATAGAAAAATTTCCTCTGGGTGAAGAAAGAGGTCACGAGCTATTCAACCAGTGCTGGGAGTCGAGAAAGGACACCGACTTCGAGTGGTGGGCCTGCGTTGGAGAGTTCATCAAGCCCCTGTTCTCCGGGCAAGTTGGTGATGTGGATAGGGATTTGATTAGGAGGTGTGCGCAAGAAGGGGTTAGGGGCATCTCGGACCTGGAGATCGCAAATCTTGCATTGACCGCTAGCGAGGAGAAGAAACTGAGAGATTCCTGGTGGACAGTAACCAGTGAGGAGTCGGGAGGAGAAAGTGCTAACGAGGACTCTAGTGAAGAGAAGGGGGGATCAGAGGAAGAAGAGAACTCGGAAGACACCGCGGACAGTAGAGAGGGGGACGAGCCGGAAGGTAACGCGGGCGATAGTGAGGGAAGCGCCTAGACATTGCCAATAAGGGTGCATGGAGAGTGAAGTAGAGGCTGGTCTCTCTAGCGCACCGGAAACCACTGAAAGAAGGGGGGTAGTGAAGAGTCCCGAGTTGGAGGCCAGTCTAAGTAGGGTAGTGGAAGAAATGACGGAGGGAGCAGAGGCTCTAGATAGGGCCGAGGGGGGTCCGGAAATGGCCTCGGGAGAAAGACAGGCCTCGAAGGGGCAAAGAGCTAGCACGGAGGTGCGAGTGCACAGGGATGTGGGGCCACGGGTGCTGGTAAACGAAGGGGTCGCTGAAGCCGCAAGAGGCGTTCCGGTGGAATCTCGGTGGGCGGACCTAATGGATGCAAAAGCAAGGTTAGAGGAAGCGCGAGAATTTCCTAGAGATAGACAGGGGTATCGACCACTTAGGAGGGGGGAAGAGGAGTGTCAGGACAGGAGGGACTTAAGAGAAGGGAGGTCAGTAGAGGCCGGCGGCAGGCCGCGGAGATGGGTCGAACGGGGCCCGGAGGTCGTCACCGGTGAGAGGTAGGCTTTAGTGGGGGCGAGAGCTGGCACGGAAATGCGAATGCCTACGCAAGAAGGGGCGATCGAGGGCTCGAGGGGCCTTCCTATAGAGTCTCGATGGGTGGATTTACAGGACGCGAGAATGGGAGAAGCTCTAGAGTTTCCAAGAAATAGGGTGGGGTACCGGCCACCCCGGAGAGAAGAGGAAGGGGGACCGAGTAGAAGGGGCCTTAGCGACGAGAGGCCGGTGGAGGCTGGTAGTAGGCCGCGGAAATGGGCTGTAAGAGAAGCAGATGCTGCATGGGATCCCGACGAGATAACGGGCAGGAGTCAGGGGGTGGAGGCCTGAAGAAGCTTTAGAGGGCAGGACCATGCTCGATGGGAGACGGATTGGCCGGATGAGCGGGGCCGCTACGGAGAAGACCCCTGGGAACCGTCGAGACCTCGAGGCCGGATGGAGGAGCCGGATCCCTCGTGGTACAAGCCGTACGACCCGACAATCGATGGGCCAATGGAAGGTCCCTATTTTCGCCGGTATGACGACCGACGAGTCCCTTACTACGACGTCAACTTGGGTCTGGAGGCACTTTTCTTCGACGGACGAGATGTGACTGGGTTCGTGGAGAAATGGGAAAGCTACGCTTACCGTAAGAGATTCTCCGAAAGGGAGTGGATCGACTATTTCATCCAGTACTCGGACCCCGAGCTAGACCCTGCGATTTGGGCTATCTACCCAGCAGACGGACGGTGGAGGACCTTTAGGGCAAGTCTATTGCAGACTTTCGCCTGTGATGATTTTAATCCCTACCGTCGAGGGTTTGCGGCGAATTACAAGGGGGGAACGGGAGAGCTTGGTAGCCTTCACCCGTAGGTTCAAGCGTCTGTCCCAAGCCCTGATGGATAGGGGCATGCTTTCTGAAGTAGATAGGTGCGTGATGTTCATGCTCCACCTGCCCGAGGAAAAGAGGAAAGAGGTCCTTGAGAAGGCCCCGAGGGATTCTGCAAATTTCGAGAAAGTCGCCGAAGTGGTTTTCACAGGGGGAGGGGTAGACGTGAGGGAATACATGAAAGAAACCTTGGACATGTCTCTCAGCAACATGCGAGGTATGCGGAACGATAGACCGCCCCCGGGTCCACCTGTTCCCCGATGGGGAGAACGGCCTACCGGATGGAGGAACGAATCGAGTGGCCAAGGAGGATGGAGGAATGACCGGGAGATAGGGGGGAATTGTGGTTCCGATTGGGGGAGTTCCCTTTGGAAGGATGCTAGGGATGAAAGGTGGGGAGATGCCCCTCAAGCAAGGGCCCCGGGGCCGCAACCGGAGGTTAGGGCGCCACCTCCGCCAGCACCACCACCACTGGCTCCGCCTGCGCCTATAGCGGCAGCCACGCAAGGGGGTCCGCACCCCAACAATCCCCAAGCTCGAAGCGGGTGTGTCTATTGCAATGAAGAAAATCACATCAAGAGGGATTGCCCTTATCTCACGAAGGCCTTAAGACTGGGGGTGGTCAAGCTGAATGAAAACAAGTGGGTTGTGTGGGGAGATAGCAGAGAGGCGGTCTCTTTTTATCCATCAATGAAGGTGAACGTGGACAAGAGGGTGGCCCTCTAGGAGGCTAGGCTGGGGAAGAAACCGGAAATCGGAAGCTCTTCCAACACAGCTCATATCCAAATGACGGAATCACGACGGGGGGTGTCCTTTAGGGAACCCCAGGTGTCAAGCATTAAGTTCATCGAAACCCAGCCCGAGGAAGAGAGGCCTTGCCTAAGGGTGAGGACGCAGGTAGGGACCGGGACGTCCGAGAGCCAAGCGAGTGTGACGGAAGGTACGGAAGTAAGGAGCGGCGACAATGACCAACCGATGGCCGATGCAAAAGCGGTAGAGGAAAAGAAGGAAGAGCCCACCTCACCCAAATCTCCTAAAAAGAGGGGGCCCAAAAAGTTTGAAATGAAGTGCACTCTGGATGATATAGACACGGTAGCCCCCCTTAGGAGGACCCTGATGCAGCCTATGCAGTGCACACTTTTGGAATATCTAGCTGCCAGCAAAAGCGCCAAGGAAGAACTCCTAAGCATCACAAGGAAGGTAAGAGTCCCGCTCGCAGGGGGGCCCACGGTGCCGGTAGAGGGTCCAGCCAAGGAAGAGGTTCATACCTCCCTTATTATCATGGAAGAACTACCTGCTAACTTCTTCTCGGGAGAAGAGGCCAAGAAATTCTATGCGTTAGGGAGCGGCCAGCTCCAGGCAGTGGTAAGTGGGAAGAAAATGAGGGCTCTAGTAGACAACGGGTCCGAGTCTACGGTGTGTAGGGACTCCATCGCGCGGGAGCTGGGATTGGAGATAGATCGAGGGGTATCGATGTCAATGGTAGTGGATGATAACAAGCTGCAACCGGCGGAAGGGGTGTGTCATAGCCCCGTGATTGAGGTCGCTAGCGTAGAGGCCACGGTCCCGATCTTTTCAGTAAAAGAGTGCTCCTCCGAATTGATCCTTGGGAGGACCTGGCTGAGCGCAGTACACGCAACCACGGTCGATTTGTCGGATGGAAGTCAGACCCTCTCGATCCAAAGTCCTGATGGAATCCGAGTGGTCCTAAAGACCGTGGACGCGCAGGATGAACGTAACCGGACCAGCATTGCTAGACGCAAGGTGAGCCAGTCAAGGGTGTGCCGAGTCCGTCTGGCGGAGGTGCCCTTGGCGGATAGGGGACCCAAGGGGGACCAATTGGAGATCGAGGACGTGGGGGACAGGATTATAATTAACAGTATGGGGTACGAGAAGGAGGACGAGGAGGAGGAGTTCGGTGGGTGCGTGAGTATGTCTTTTTTGGAGGAATCCCCCTAGCCGACAGAGTCAAGAAACATAAAACCGTGGCGGAAAAAGTGAAACCTGCCGCGGTCAGCCGGGATAGAACGGGGGAAGCTACAATATCGGAAGAGGAGATAACCGATATCATCCGGAAGAAGAAAGAGCCGGAAGGGCAAAGGATAACGGTCGATAGATTGGCCAAAATGGATATAAGAGATGGGAACCTCACGGAGGAAGAGAAGGGGTTCATAGCAATGACCCTAAGGGGGTGCGATAAGGCCATTGCCTTTGATGAATCGGAGAGAGGGAGGATCGACCCAAGGTACGCTAAGCCGGCACGGATCCACACGGTCTCGCACGTGCCTTGGAAGGATAGGCCTCAGTGAAAGTACGCTCAAAAGGAGAAAGAGGAGATAGTGGCCTTCATCAAGGAAAAGATCAGGACGTTCGTCGCGGAGCCTTGCGAGAGCGCCTACTCCAATAAGTGGTTCTTTCTGAGGAAGGGGGGCAGCAACAAACTGAGATGGATTCAAAACCTCCAGAGGATCAATGCGGTCACCATAAGAGACTTGGGGTCTATACCTGAGGCCGACTTGCTAGCGGAAGGATCGGCAGGTCGCTCAATATACTCTATCTGCGATCTCTTCTCGGGGTACGACGAGATTCCCTTAGATTACCGGGACAGGCACATGACCGCCATGCATACGCCTTTAGGGCTGGTTCAAATGATGGTGGTACCAATGGGTTGGACGAATGGGGTAGTGGTGTTCCAAAGGGCCATGATCGCGGTCCTCAAGGAGTTCATACCGGAGAAGGTGGAGGTGTTCCTGGATGACTTCCCGATAAAAGGGTCGGTCGAACTGGATGAGACGGAGGTCTTCCCGGGGGTGAGAAGATTCATGGCCGACCACATGAGTGATGTCAGAAACGCCCCTGAGAAGTTAGATGATGCCAACCTCACGGTAAGCGGAACTAAGAGTCGTTGGGGCATGTCCTCCATCGGGATACTGGGATTCATTTGCGATAAGGATGGGCGAAGGCCTGACCCTAAAAAATTAGTGAAATTGATGACCTGGCGGTCACCACTCAAGTCCATAATGGAAGTCCGACAGTTTCTGGGGGTTGTGGGCTACTGGAGAATCTTCATAAAAACCTATGGTGAAAAAGCGGAGCCCCTTAGAAGACTTCTTAGGAAATCGGAAGGATGGGTTTGGGGAGAGGAACAAGCCGCGACCATGGAAGCCTTAAAGGGTGAGTTCCGCGAAGGTGGAGAGGTCCTGGGAGTTCCTTTCTTCGAGGACGAGGAGCATCGCCCCTTTATAGTTTCCACGGACGAGGGACCTCACTCGGTGGGGGGCTCCTATCTCAAAAGGACGGAAAGGGGAAAGAGAGACCGTTGCGATTCGAGAGCCGGACATTGAACCCCGCCGAGCGGAATTACAGCCAATTCAAGAAGGAAGTGCTAGGGGTACTGCTTGCCTAAAGGCCTTCCGTCGTTACCTGTATGGGCGACGATTTCTCCTAAGAGTGGACCCCACTGCAGTGGCAGCGGTCCTTCAAAAGGATTTTTCGCTGACCAATCCAACCATCGTCTGATGGATGATACACATTAGGCTTTACGACTATAGGGTCGAGAGGATATCGGGGGCCAAGAACCAGGTCGCGGACGGGTTGTCCCGGCTTCCCATTCGTGAGGAGGACCTACCTAGGCTCAAGGAGTAAGCGGCGACAATGGGCGAAAGGGAGGTAATGAAAATCGCCGCTAATAGGGCACAAAGAGCGGGGAGCAGCCGGGAAGAGGAAGGGGCCCCGAGGACCTTTCTCGCTAATCTCTATGACGGGAAGTACCGCGACATAGGACTATACTTAGCCGGTAGGGAAACAGGGACTGAAAGAATCCGACAAGAGGCGCTGGGGTATTGCCTGCGAGGAGGCCATCTCTTCAAGAGGCCCACCAAGTTTGTGATGCCCATGAGGGTACTTTGCGATCCGGAGGAGAGAAGGGTGGTCATAGAAGAGCTACACGATGGGGTCGTTGGAGGTCATAGGGGAGTGAAGGGTACTTTCGATAAGGTCCGTAGGCTTTATTGGTGGGACAGGCAATACACGGAAGTAGAAAAGTATTGTTCCACGTGTGAGGCTTGCCAGAAGAGGGCGAAGGTTCGATACAAAGAGCCCTTAGTCCCATCGCTTCCCACTTCTCCAGGTGAGAAGGTCCATGTAGACTTAGTAACCATGCCAAAAGGGGTCGGCGGACTTCGGTATATAATCAATGCCCATGATGACCTCACCGGATTCGTAGAAGCGAAGGCCATTAAGAAGAAGACGGCGGAGGAGGTAAGTGATTTTCTCCTTGAATATATCGCGCGGTACGGGTGTGTCGGGAGAATAGTTATGGATAGGGGCGCAGAGTTCTTGAGCCAAAAGGTCAAGGCATTATTGGAAAAGGCAGGGATCGGGGCGACCTATACGACCGCTTATCACCCCCAAAGCAATGCACCGGTAGAAAGGGGCCATCAGACGCTTGTGGACGCTCTGGCGAAATGGTGCAAAGGCCGCGCGGAACAGTGGCCGAGATACTTGCGGTACGCAGTTTGGGCCGATAACATCACAGTCAAGTCCAGTACGGGATACCCTCCTTACACCCTTTGGTTCGGTAGGCATTGTCCCCTTCCCATCGAATTCCACATTGACACTTGGACGAGTGTCTCGTGGAAAACCTCCATGTCTAGGGATGAACTGTTGGATGCAAGGATACAACAGATAGCCGAAAACTTGGATACCGGGGTAACCGCGGTCAGTGAGAACGTCGAGAGAGAGAGGGTGAAAGGAAAAGATAGGTGGGACAAAAATCTGCGGGTCCGAAAGGCGCCGATAAGGGTGAACGACCTAGTATTGTTGTACGATTCGTCGCTAGAAAAGACCTGGAACCGAAAATTGGCAAACCGATGGATGGGGCCATATAAGGTCCTAAAGAGACTGGATGGGGGGGCTTACATGCTCGCTGAATAAGACGGGAGTAGGCTACGGGACCTTATCGCAGGAGCTCGTCTCAAAATCTTCCGATCAAGAGGGACCCTTGGGGAGGAGCCGAAACAGAAAGGGAAGGAAGCGGTTGACACAAAGGTGACCATTACTCATGAAAAAGGGGAGACCTCCGAACGGGGAGCCTCCTCTCGACTGCCGAAAAAAGGGTACAAAGTTCGGAGACCTCCCCTACCAAAGACCCCTAGAAAGAAGAAACGGCCTGGAGAGGATGACGGTGATGCCGACCGATTAGGGAAACGCAGGCAAAAAGAAAGAAGGAGAGCTTCAAGGAAAGCCTTGAGAATCAGACGTGAAAGAGAAGAGAGAAAACGAAAGAGAGAGAAGCGCGAGAAAAGGATGAGGAGACGGAGACGGGGGTAGAGTCGCGCGGGAAAGAAGGATGGAATACCATAATTAGAGAGACGCGACCTGGTTAGGGGGCAAGGATATGCCGTGGTTAGAGACACGGGGGTCTAGCCGTAATTCCAAGAAGGGTAATGTACCATAGTTAGGAAAATATGTTCCGGGAAGGGTGATGTGTCGAAGGGAAAGGTGTGTCGTGATTGGAGGGCAAGAATGTACCATAGTTAAAGAAACGGGGGTCGCAAAGAGGGGATGAGGCATATTGTACCAGTAACATAGGATAAGGATTAGGTCTAATGGAAAAGGGGCAACGTGATCAAAAGGGGGGAAATGGGATGAGACCGGGGAAAGATTCCGAGGATAAACATTAGGTGAGGGGCGGCGGTTAAAGGGGTGAGGGTCACGAAAGGTGCTCGCCGGGGACGGCAAATAATGGGGTGTGGGCTGGTTGTCGGGCGGCTGCCTACCAGCCGATCGTTTTTTTTCTTTGAAATGAAAAACTTTTTTTCCTACTTTACCGTTTTTTGCGTGGTTTTGACGTATGTATGCATGTTGGTATGATGTTTGTGGATGTCCTCGGGCTTCTGGGCCTTCATACTAACCTTTCGATCGGTCGGAGTGACGGTCCGAATCTTGGTCGCTAGCAGGCTCGGGCGGATCATAAAAAGTCGAAGTTTCGGCGTCAAAATCTGAAAAATACAGGACGGGCGATGTGGATCAGCATGGGCCTTGATCAGGTCCGGGGTATCGGTTACAAATGACCGCCGGACCACTGCGAATGTTCATGACGGGGTCTGCTAGCGTGGTCTGCGGCACAGGGAGATTGGGTAAAACGCCACGACGGACGACGCGATTCGGATACTGCGACCACACCAAAGAGCGCCCACAACAACGCAAAGGGGCGGCCACATGGCAATTCTTGAAGCTGGCTGCGAGTTCTAAGAGGAGCTGGTGCTCACACGAGGAAAAAGGGGGGGCTGCCACGCAAGGGGGAGTGAACCAATGGCCAAGGAAGGGTGCGGGAGCTTGTCAGGAATTCTCTGTGATCGATCGGGGGCCCACGCTGGCCATAGGACGTCCAGATGTGTTGAGGAGAGGGAGATAGAGAGAGAGAGAGAGGGGAAGAGAGAGAGGAAGCGGCTGTCGGTGAAGGTCGTACGCGCCCGTGAACAAGCAAGGAGGACGGTCCGGGCATGGTCGCAAGTGGGGTCGAACGGGCATAGAAAAAGTCGAGGTTTTTTGGGCGGTACTCGAGAAGAAGGGAAAAAGCAGTGGACTTCGAACTAAGCTCTAGGTGTGGGCGGTTGTCGGGTCGCTACCAGAGAACAATGGAACCTTAATCAGGCCTGCGTACGGGGTCGTGAGATGCAGAGACAAGAAGCGAGCTTCGCGGATACATCTGCATGTGGCTGCAATCTCCGCGATGTGAAGGAGTCGGTTGCATGGGAAAGCTCCAGGGCGTTGGATTTTAGTTCATGTAGCCGAAGTGGGTTGTTAGCCGAGGCGGATCGACGCCTTCGTCAGGTTATCAAGAATGGCTGAGAAAAAAATTGGTTCTGAAGGCTCAACCTCGATCGACCGGCCATTGCAAAGATCTTCTTGGAGGACAGTCGAAACGACACGGAAGGAAGGGGGGGGAATCGCGTCCGACCTTGGGGACTCGGTCCCAAGGCTAAGGGGCTGGGGGAGAGAAAAGGGGCGAGGGCTGGATTGGAGGAAGAGCACTGTTGCTATCGTCTAGATGGCGGTTAGCAAAGTCAGTTGGAAAAAGGGAAACCGAAATGACGAGCAGGGAGCAAAAAACTTCTTGAGAAAAATCCCGAAGCCGAAAGACTCAGAGGCGCACGCTCCTATTGACGGAAAAAGGGCAAGGAACAAGTGAGGACGGAAAGAAAAACGGACCGACAAAAATTTCGGCTTCGCAACCTTGCGAAGTATAGCTTAAGCCACGTAAGGGGATGCGAGTTGAGAGAACAAGAAAAACACAACTTATTGCGAAGAGATCTGGAAGCGAAAGGGGGCAAGAGATTCGATTGGAGGATGAGATACGAGGAGGATCAAGGAAGAGGGGCGAAAA